AGGGGGTCCCCGGTGTGGGGCATTGCACTGAGTTCACTCTTGCATCTTTGTCTCTCCCTTTAGGACATGAGGAGCACGCTGAGCAGGTACGTGGCTCCACCTGACTCCCCATAGAGGGAAGGGTCCTGGGGAAGATGCAATGGGCACATCTCTGCAGGGCATCACAGCACAGCAAGCCCTGGGACTGACCCTGAGGTGGGAAGCATGAACATACCCTTTTTCCCCTTGGGGAAGCGATGGCTTTGGGCACTGGCAGCCTGAAGACTGTAAGGTGTAATCTGGGCTTTCCCCCTCTTGTCCCCGGGGAATAGTCCTGGCCACCAGAGCTTGAGCCAACTACCCGTGAAGTCTCTGTTCCTTTCTGATCCCAGGAGATGTCCTGGACATTTTGGAGCTGAAGAAAACATGCCTACTGGGGATCGGTCCCTTCTGGGGGAGCTGCCACTGCCACCGTGGGCAACTGGTGCCTCCCGAATCAAGTGGGTGGCGATGACTGTTGGGCCAGAGCTGGCGAGCTCTCTCAGCACCGCTGGCCCTGTCATGGGGGGCACGTTCCCCCGCACTGTGTTCTTCCTACACATCGCCTGTGACTGCCACTGTCTGTGCTGCCCCTGCCCCTTTGGCTGAGACACATGGCCAGAGTCAGTCTTTAGGTCCCTCCATCCACCCAATGTTTCTACCATGTAGCTGAGCTGCAAAAAGAAAATCAAATAACACAGACTCGTTTTTCCCAGGTGCAGGAAGGAGCCGTTCAAGCTGCCAGAGGGGATTTGCCCAGAGCTGGAAACGAGACTCAGCATCCTGTCTGGACAAACGCTAGCTCTACAGGAGATTTTGAGGAAGTTTCAAGGTACTGAGAAGGGGGCTGCGAAAGGGAAGAGGGAAGTGTCCTTGTTGAGGAAGAAGAGACAAGCAGTTGGTTTGAATTTGGAGCCAGAATCTTTTTTAATTGGGAGATAAACTAATTGTGCTGGACTGATATCAATTGGGAGAGAAACTAAAGGGCTTCTCTCTGCCTTTGTGTGAATCACTGATGAACCAGGGCTCCTCTGGGCGCCCCTTTGCCCTGGGTGCAGAGCCACAGGGCCCTGCCGCTCCAGCGCTGCTCAGCATGGGCTTCTGCAGCTGGGGTAGTGGGAGCTGCGGGGCCCTGCCCCACTCAGAGCGAGCCCCCAGTGCCTCATGTCAGGCCACCAAAGTTAAGAGCCGAAATTGAACATGAGACAAGCTGTCAGGTTTGGATCCTGCTTGGTTTGGCTTAACCCCAGGGGTAGAGTGGGGTGCGGGAGGTGCTCCCAAGGGCCAGGAGAGGAGCAGGGAGGGAGCAGAGCAGGCAGGTCGGGGTTGGTCCCGGGTGAAGCTGCACCTCTGGTATCCTGCACCCCGACAGGGGCCACTGGAGCAGAGGGCTACTCTGTCTGGACCCCTGGACTTCCCCAGCCAGTGCCAGCCCTTGCCTGTCCCCTCCGCCAGTGAACAAGAGAGCTGCGAAGCTCATACCCT